CCGGCTCCCTGCTTTGTCACCACGCTGCCCAGGAGAGCAGCGTGCCCCCAGCCCAGTGCCGCAGGGTGGAGGGGCTGGGGTACTCTCAACACGAGGTCTCCTCTGGCACTAGACCCGGGTTCCTGATTCCCACTTTTACCCCCTCTTGTTCACCTTCCCCAACTACAGTCCACCCTCTGCCCAACAGGACACAGACACTCACTAGCCAAGAGGTGGAAAGAGGGAAGCTGGGAGCTCCCAGGCCTTGACCTTCCCACTCCCGACCTCAGCTGGAAACCTCAGGGATGACCTCCTGCAGCCTCTCCAGGATGGTGATCTCAGCCCCCACCTCTTCTCCCCTGACCCCCGCCCCGAGGCCACTGGGCACAGCCCCTGCGGGACAATGCTCAGAGTTTACGGTCTGAGGCCACCTGTCCCAAACCTCATACTCCTCTGGACCACATGCCTGGCTCCTCTGTCCCAGGAAAGCACTTTGAGATGTGTCCCCTGGGTCAGCCACTCCCAGCCCTGTCCCCTGCGCCCTGTCCCAGCTGCCTCTCTCCTCTGCACTCCCCCAAGCTGCCAGTGACCCTGCTAAGGGCCAGGCCTGGCCACTGCAGCCTGGGGTTGGACTCTCCCCTCCCTGAGGATGGATGCTGGGCTCTTTCAGCCCAGCCACGCATGTGGCTCTGGATGACCTGGTCACTGATATTCCCAGGTGCTCTCTCTTGGGTCCAGGCTCTGCTGGGATAAACTGGCTTTTGCAACTAATCTGAGGACAATTAAACTACCTGCTGGCATTTAGTGTGGTGGCCTCATGAACCATTTTGCTAGGGTTTTAAGCTTAAAGACCTCAGGGAAGCCACTTAACTTTTCTGTGGCTCAATTCAATTATATGTGAAAATGGAATAACAGTAATACCTACTTCATAGATGTTACTGGGAGGCATCAACCAATTGATATAAGTAAACTATGGAGAGTGGAGTATAGCCTGGCTCCCAATAAGGGCTATACATGTGTTAACTATTATTATTATCTTACCACTTTGTGTTCAGGTTTTTTCACCTTCCTGCTGCCACCTCCACTACCATAAGCCCTCTGTCATATTCAAAATAGGAACATCAGGCCTGCTGCACTTTTATTTGCTAATGGCTAACATTTATTAACCACTCGGTACATGCCAGGCACTCTTCCAAACAATCAGTAGGCATTAACTCATTTCACCTGCCCCAAACCCATGCAGTCGTTCCTAGCATTATCCTCATTCTATAGCTGAGGCGACTGAGGCACAGAAAGGCTAAGTAACTTCCCCAAGGACACACAGCAAGCATGCGGTAGAGCTGGGAAGTGAACCGAAGCAGCCTGGCTCCAAAGCTTGTGCACTCCATCCCTATGCTCCTGCCACTCTCTGTTATTGGTAAAAGGAAGACC